CCAATGCAAAGCTGTTTATTTGTAGCAGCTGCTGTTTAACACACTCCCTTGTTACTGATGGACTGGAGAGCATTTCATTATCTCCAAGATGTGGAAACCTCACTTTGCTTCTTTCCAAACACAGAACTGAAACATCTGCTGTCTCTCCATCATGCTGGACTATGTTTCTGTTCCTGTCTCACTTCAGACCTCTGCCCTTGCTCATGGGGGAAGAGGGAGGACAGCTAGCTGTGAACAGGGGAGCTGGGGGAAGAGGGGGAGAGTTCCAGGCTAGGGGGGTCCCAGTGGTTCCAACTGCTCCCTGGCCCAATCCTGGGTGCTGCAGTGGCTGCTTCAGCCCCTCCGAGTCCCACTCTTGTCTCCGTGAGTTTACATGGTGTTGAAACCCCGCCCCCCAATATTTCCATTGTGTGTGAGCTAGTCCCTCTGCTCCCCTGTTTTTGTAGCCCCTTTGGCTGAGGTCTCATGCTGGAAGGTTTGAATGTTTGGGCCCAACATGCCCCAGACTCCCTGCCTTCCATTCTCAAAAGGGTCAATAAAACTCAAGTGCCCTCTGCCGAGAAAGAGAGAGAAAGATCAATAAAACCCACTGCTCTGTGTCCCCTCTCCCTTTGGGCAGCTCAGACTGTGAGCTCTGCAGTACTGGGACTGGGCTGCCAAGGTCCCAGCTGCTGGGAAGTAGCCAATCACAAAGCCCAGAACAGACTGAGTCCATTAATGGCTTTGGAGATCTGGACCAAGGGGGCTCTCTGGGGACGAGCACAGGCCTGATGTGTACAAAGCAGCCTAGCCGGTGATGCAGGGAATGTCAGTGCTCCAGGTGCGGGGGAGCAGTGCCCGGGTCTTCATTCAGCAGGAAGGGCTGGCATGTCTTGGCAAGCTGCAGGTGAATGATGGCGTTTTTAGTCCTGATCCTGCGGGGTCAGCGAGATGCAGTGATGATCTGACCTGGTGAAGGGGCAGATGCCTTCCATGGGGGCGGACTGCGACCTGGCCAGCTCTGCAAAGCCTTTTCCTGCTGCCTGCCCACAAACAATCTCCCAGCTGGGTTTGGTTCTGTTCTTGCAGACCCAATCTGGCCATTGAGGTTTTGGGAACCAGCCATGTCCCGTCTGATCAGAGTCTGCCATTCAGTGTGCCCTGTGCCCCTCATGCCTGCACTATGCTCAGAAACAACTGCCCAGTGCCAGGGACCCCTCTCCTCCCCTGTGTCGGGGCTCTGCATCCCCTATTCCCTCTCCCTCCCATTCCAGGGGCTCTCTGCCATCCCTAACTTTCCTCCTTTTTATTCAATTTCTCTCTAACACGGTACACTGCATTGGGGGGTGGGCAGAGCTGACTGGGTGGTGGTTATGCTGGGAGGTGTCGATGGTGCCATCAACTGGTTCCTTGATCTGCAGACAATTACACAGGTGGCTGAAGCTGCCGGCTCTGCTGATCACATGCCGGGGCTCTGTGTCCCCCCAATTTTCACTTTCTGGTTTTCCTACTTGTCATCAAAATCAATAGGATTCTTGTATTGATCAGATGCTGCCTTCTGAAGTTATTGTATAATATCCAAATGATGAAATGCCATCAAGTTGAATGTAAGGATAAACATTTTAAAATCAGCAGGCCTGGATAACTTGCACGCAAGAGTCCTAAAAGAATTGGCTGAGGTGATCTCTGACCAGGTGATGTTAATTTTTAATAAATTATGGAATTCTGGGGAAATTCCAGGAGTCAGGAAAAGTGCTAATGTTGCGCAAATGTTCAGTAAAGGCCGACAGGATGACCCAAGAACTATAGGCTGGTTAGCCTGATATCAGTCCTGGGCAAAATAATGGAAAAGCAGATACAAGATTCAGTTAGATAATGAAAAATTAAAGAATAGGAATATAATTAATGCCACTCAGCCTAGTTTTGTGGGTACATAGCTTTCGTCAAACAAACTTGATTCGTACAGGGGCCATAGTGGACAAGCAAAGCAATATGAGCTCCCGGTGCAATACTGTGGGTGAAAGGGCTAATGTGATGCTTGGATGTATGACAGGGGAGTCATGAGTAGGAGCACCAAGGTGAGTTTCCCTCTGTATATGGCAGTGGTGAGGCAGGTACTTGGAATATAGCTCCCATTCTGGTTCCCACCTTTTAAAAAGGATGTTGAAAAACTGGAGAGGGTGCAGAGAAGAGCTCAATCCACTCAGCTTAGCAAAAGGAAGATTGCAAGGTGACGTGAGTACAGGGTGTGAGGACTTGATGGGGAGAACATGCTGGGCACGGAAAGGACTGCTGAAGCCAGTGAAGAAAGGTGGAACGAGAACCATTGTCTGGAAGCTGAAGCCAGCAAAACTCCTCTTAGAAGTTAGGAAGATAGTTGTCAAGTGAGGGTGGTTAATCGTTGGAACAAACTCCCAAGGGAAGTGATGGCGTCTCCATCTCACAGAGTCATTGGTTCATAGATAGCAAGGCCAGAAGGGTCCACTGTGGTCATCTGGTCTGTTCTCCTTCCTAGCACAGGACATGGGACTTCCCGAAATTAATTCCTGTTTGAACTAGAGCAGATCTTTTAAAAACCCCACCCAACGGAGATTTAAAATCTCCCAGGGATGGAGAATCCGCCACGACCCACAAGAAGTTCTTACAATCATTCGTTACCTTCGCTGTTTTAAAAAAATTGTCTTATACAGAGATTGAGGTTTTCTAGCATCAACTTCCAGCGACTGGGCATTGTTACATCTTTGTTTGCTAGACTGAAGAGCCCTCTATTATCAAATTTCTGTTTCTCACGTAGGCATTTGTAGACTGATGAAGTCACCCTGAACCTTCTCTTTGTTGAGCTGAATAGATTGAGCTCCTTGAGTCTGTCACTATAAGGCAGGCTTTCCAATCCTTTAGTCATTGTTGTGGCTCTTCTCTGATGCCGCTCCAATTTGTCAACAGCCTTCTTCAATTGTGGGCACCAGAACTGGGCACAAGAGTCCAGCAGCAGCCGCCCCAGTGCCAGATACAGAGGGGGAAATCACTTCTCTTCTCCTACGTGATAGTCTCCTGTTTATGCATCCAAGGTGCCCTCAGTGCTGCCCACTGGGGCTCATACGCCCTGCCCTGGTGCTGCCCTAGGCAAGGATCCCTGCCCTCTCCATGGCTCTGCCACCCTGGCCCCTCCATGCCCCTTCCTCTGCTTCCTCAAGCATGTCAGGGCCCAAGTGGCAGGCAGGCACCCAGCCCAGTTTGACCTCAGCAACGTTCCTATTGATTAGTGGCTTGAAAGCAGAGAAAAGCAGGAAATAAAGGCCAGTTCCAAACCAGCTGCCCCACCTTGCCCTGGGTAGCTGGGCACTGACTGGCATGTATCCAGCAAGGAGAAGTGGCTTGGCCTGGCCTCGCAGCGTGGGCCCAGTGGGAGGCAGCTGCAGCAGCAGGTCAGGCTGCTGGGAGCGTCTCTCCACGGTGCTTGGAGGCACCAGCCCGCGGCATCATGGCTGAGATGGGGCGGATGGTCCCAGACAGAAGGTTGGGAACCCACCGGGGGCCTTGGCAGCAGCCTGGCACCATGTCCTCCCGGGCAGCCGGTGGCAGACTGGACAGTGCAGTGCGGCGAGTGGCGCTCTGGGTCAGCTGTGAGGCTCGAGGGGATCGGGCACCTTGGATGAGGTCTCACGGGGTGGTGGGCAGGGTTGTGGCACCACTTACCTGCATTTAGGAATTTGTGGAGTTTCCTGGCAGACAGCGACGTTGGGGAACCCCATGGCGACCTGGCTGGCAGGAGGGGGAGCTGCCTTGGGGACGGGGCCTTTAGTGGCTGGTTCCCAGGGCAGGTACTGTGTCTCTCCATGTTCCCAGGGAGTGCCCAGCACGCTCGGTGGCCTGGTAGCTACCGGCGAGTGGGAGGAGGTGGTGCTGACCCGCCAGGAGGCTCTGCAGGGGCCGCGTCACTGAGGAAATTCTCCAGCCAAGTGTGGAGCTGCAGCTGGGACTGAGGCTGGGTGGCAGGTCTCAGGCTGTGGGGCACCGGGGTTGTTCGAAGCGCCCCCAGGGGGCAGTGCCAGAAGGAGGAGCCCCTGCCTCAGGGCGCACAGCCTGTGGCCATATCTACGCTACAGATTATGTCGGAGTAAGGCCTGTCGCTTGGGGGTGAATAACCACCGCCTCCCCACCCGCAGCCACATAAGTCCCATCGACAGGAGCGTCTGGATGCACAGTGCTGTGCGGGCAGGAGAGCTTCTCCTGCCGGCCGCCGTAGCTCCTGCCGCTCGCGGAGGTGGTTTTATTATGCCGACAGACGCGCGCTCTCCTGTCGCACAGAGGGTCTTCCCTGGGCGGCGCAGTGCTGTACGTCCGGGTGTGCCCTAAGGCCGGCCGGGACCGGCCCTACCCTAGGCGCTGCAGGGGGGAGGAGCTGCCTGGGGGCCGGATTGTTTCTGTGACCCCATGTGGGGCCTGTCTGCTGAGGGGCAGAGTGGATGGGCGTGGGGAGGGCCCAGGGCCTGCTGCAGGGGTGAGAGGAGCCGGCATTATTGGCAGGGCGGGACGCTGGGTCCCAGTGTGGGCCAGGTGGACACTCATAGAGGACGTGACATTCAGCCACTCGGCAGGGTAAAGGGCAGCTGGCGACGGGCAGGGCGGGTGAGCGGCCATGGCAGGGCAGTGGGGGAGGTGGGAACCAGGGAGGGGACCTAGTGTGGGCCTGGGCAGGGCTGGCAGGGGCTTTGGCTGTTAGGGCAGAGAGGAAGGGCAGGGGAACATCACCCAGACAACCTCCGCCCTGTGCTGGGCCTCCACCCACAGACATAGTTCCTCCCGCATGGGCTCCCTTCACCCCCACTGCAGGGCTCCTCCCCGCCTTCAGCCCACTGCCTGGGCTCCCCTTTACCCCGCCTCCCCCAGCTGCGTGGGCAAGGGCACTTGGGTCTCTCTCCACTGACTCCTGGCATCAGAGTCTCTGCTGTTCCGTGGGGCTGTGCCCCAGTCCACGAGCATGGGGGCCTATTTGACCCCATCCCCCCTTTTTTTTTCAGGCCCGTCTCAGCCATGAGGAGCAGCAGTGCCTGGGCATGGCAGGAGTTGCTGGCCCTGCTCTGCAGCGTCTGGCTCTGGGTGGGTGCTGCCCAGCGCACCGGGCCCACGCCCACAGCGCAGAGCCAGGGCCCCAAGCTGAAGTTCCGCCTGGCTGGGTACCCCCGCAAGCACAACGAGGGGCGCATCGAGGTCTTCTACAATGAGGAGTGGGGCACCATCTGCGACGATGACTTCACGCTGGCCAACGCCCACGTGCTATGCCGCCACCTTGGCTTCGTGGCCGCCACAGGCTGGGCCCACAGCGCCAAATACGGCAAAGGCGTTGGTGAGGGGCGTGGCTGGCATGGCCCAGACTGCCAGGGCCAGCGTGTGTGGGGGTGGGGAGGTTGCACGTGGTGGGGCTGTGTGTGCGCAGGGGGACTGTGTGTGTCACTGAGCTTATGGGGGAGTGTGTATGCAGTGGGGCTGGGGTGTGTGTGCATGTGCGCAGTGGGTCTGTGTGTGTGCAGGGAGCTGTGTGGGCATGCAGTGGGGCTGGTGTGTGTGCACGGGGGTTCTGTGTGCGATGGGGTTGTGTGCTGTGTCTGCGCAGTGGGGCTGTGTGTGTGTGTGTATGTGTGTACAATGTGGCTGGGGCTGTGTGTGTGCAGGCAGGCTGCACAGGTGTGTATGTGTGTGCACGCACGGGGGCTGTGTGTGAGTAGTGCAGTTGGATGTGCGTGCAGTGAGGCTGTGTGTGCAGGGGGCTGTGCGTGTGCTATGTGTGTGTGCAGTGGGGCTGGGTGCGTGTCTGCACGCAGTGGGCTGGGGGCTGTGTGCTTGTGCAGTGGGGCTGGGTGTGTGTTGCTGTAGATTTGCACACACAGTGGTGGGGGGTGGTGCATGTGAAGTTTTTGCAGGTGGGGAAACCCCAGGCTGCAACCCCTATCCCTGGGAGCTCCCCGGGAAATCACCTTTTGGGGGGTGAGGTTCACATTTCTTCTGACTTCTTTTTGAGTTGCATTGCCCTGCCCCACACTGCCACATATGCCCCAAAGACACCCCCTCACCTTATATACACCCCCTCCAGCCTGGCCTTGGTCCTGCCCATGACCCCTCCCTGGCCTGGTGCTTCTGCAGGGCGGGTCTGGCTGGACAACGTGAACTGCGGGGGCAGCGAGAAGAGCATCGTGGACTGCAGGTCACGAGGCTGGGGGAACAGTGACTGCAGCCACGAGGAGGACGCGGGTGTGATCTGCAAGGACGAGCTCATCCCAGGCTACGTGGACTCCAACATCATCGAGGTGAGTAGCTGCAGCCCTGGGGTCCGGGCCCCACGCGGCGGGGCTGCTACCACCTCCCTCCCCGGGTCCCACACACTGGGGCTGCCCTGCCCTGCCCTAGCTCTCGCTCCTGCCCAGGCTCCATCTCCTGGGTTCTCTTGAGCCTGGCGCGGTCTCTGCGTCCCCGTCATTGGGGCTGGGCAGGCCGGGCAGGTTGGTGTGGGTAAGTTGGCGCGGGGCTGGAGCTGGGGCGGGGCAGGCTTGGAGGGCTGGGTAGGCTGGGTGAGCCGGGCAAGCTGGTGCCGGGAGGGCTGGGCATGCTGGTGCTAGACAGGCGGGGCAGGCTGGCGTGGGGCTAGGTGTGCCAGGCAGGCCGGTGCTGGCCAGGCTGGCTCGGGGGTGGGATGGCTGGGCAGGCTGGTGCTGGACCAGGTGGGCTGGAGAAGCTGGCACTGGGCCGGGTGTTGGGACCTGTCCGGTGGAGCTCAGCAGCCCTGACCGGGCTCTCCCCTGCCAGGCCGAGCAGAACCAGGTGGAGGAGCTCAGGCTGCGGCCTGTGGTCTCTGGCGCCAGGAAGCGGCTGCCGGTGACAGAGGGCGTGGTGGAGGTGCGCTACAAGGAGGGCTGGGCACAGATCTGCGACGAGGGCTGGAACCACAAGAACAGCCGCGTGGTCTGCGGGATGATGGGCTTCCCAGCCGAGAAGAAGGTCAACAGGAACTTCTACAAGTGAGTGAGGGGGCTCGAGGAGAGCCACACCGATGGGGTGGGCCTGGCACTACCCGGTGGGACCTGCATGGGTGCCAAGGAGGGGTAGTCCTGTGGGGCTGGGGAGGGGAGCTGGGGCAGGGCTGTGGGGGGTGGGAGGCATGGCGGGGCAGCCCTGAGGGAGCTGGGGCAAGGCACGGGGAGCTGGGTAAGGCTTGGGGGCCCCATGGTGGGGCAGCTCTGGTGATGGCTGGGTCAGTGCCACCAACTCTCATGATTCTGTTGTGACTCTCACGATGTTTGGTGTTTTTCCTAAATCCCCAGCAGCTGGAGTCAGGTGACTGTGAGGGCGCCGTATACCGTGTGACTAAGCTGGTCAGTTGGGTGGGACGCGGAGGTGGAACCTGATGGCTCAGACACAGGGCGAGGGCACGGACCCTGCATGGGCCTTGTTACAAATTCCCAGCTTTTGGGGCACCGACCCTGGGTCCATGCCTGCATCCGGCGAGCCCTAGAATGCTCCCATATTGCCAGCCACATCCAGCCTGGCCCAGCCCTTGTCCCCGGAAGTGTCTGCCCAGCCCTCGTGGTGCCTGGGTGGCCCGAGGTGCTCAGACCTGGCCGGGAGCCTGGGCAGAGAGAGGCTGGGTCTGGTCCAGGAGGCTGTAGGTACCCAGCCCTGCAGGGATCCAGCACCGTGGAGCTGAGCGCCGGTGGCCTTCCTCATGCCCTCCCAGGCCCCACGCTGGCTGACCGCCCCAGCCTGGCTCTGCCATGGCTCCCAGGGAGCTGCAAGCCTTGTGGGCTGTAGCCCTGGGCGTCTGCCAGCCCCTCACCATCCTCTGACTGGCGGGTCACCATTTCCTTTCTACAGGCCATTAAAGCGAGCAACCAAGATAAAGAGCCGGAGCCCAGGGCTGGGTGCAAGGTAACAGGGTAGGGCCAGGTCCACATCCTGGGGCCGAGTCTCCCCAGCAGGTCTGGGGCTGCCGAGTCCCTCTGGATGGTAGAAGCTGCCCCTGCCTTGGCCAGTCTCTTCTGCCATCAGGGCTGGATTCTGGGCTGGGCCCTGGGAATCCAGCTGGAGCCATGAACTTCACCCTGGGACTCAAAGGCTGTCTTAGGCAGGCGGGCTGAGCCTCTCACTGCACAGCTCCTGCGGGGCCTTTGCATTTCAGTGGGTGAAGTTCATTTGGCCATGGATGGGATGTGAGGCCTGGTCGGGGTCTGACCCACCCCTGCATGGAGCTGGGGCTTCTGCTTGAGTTCTGCATCCTCCAAGAGAAATGGCTCTTTCTCCAGGGCCTAGCATTGCATAGGGTCCTCACGCCAGCCCTTCAAAGGGCCAGGCAGGGAGGGGGCTGTGCCCAGGTGGGGTCTGATCTGGTCCCTGGACTGGGAGCGCCATGCCCACCACCGGCTGGCAGGGGCACTGTTCTCAGGGGGACACGCTGGGGATCCCTATATGGGTGCCATTGCCACAGAGATGGGACTGTTGGTCGTCACCCCCACTCCCCCCAGCAGTGGGTTCAGTGGCCATCAAGGTCAGCCCAGGGCCCTGGAGCGGAGCTCTCTCTCCTGGAGGTGGACGGAAGGGCTGGTGGACATGGGCCATTTTCTGAAGAAAATGCCAGTGGGGCAGCTGAGCTGGCTGTGAGTCCCCCCGCTCCCCACCCGATTGTGCCCACACCTAAGCCATGGACCTGGCGGACTCGTCTGTGGCAGCAGGGCCTGGAGACTATAGTGGGAGCAGCCCAACATGGTAGCATTTAATTTCAGGAACGGGGACTACACAAAAATGAGGAAGTTACTTAAACAGAAATTAAAAGTACGGCACCAACAGTGAAATCCCTGCAAGCTGCATGGAAACTTCCTAAAGACACCATAATAGAAGCTCAATTTAAACGTATACCCCAAATTAAAAAACATAGAGAACGAAAAAGTGCCACCGTGGCTAAACAACAAAGTAAAAGAAGCAGTCAGAGGCAAGAAGGCATCCTTTAAACAGTGGAAGTTAAATCCTAGTGAGGAAAATAGAAGGGAGCATAAACTCTGGCAAGTGAAGTATAAAAATACAAGTAGGAAGGCCAAAAAACAATTTGAAGAACAGCTACCCAGAGACTCCAAAAGTAATAGCAAAAAAACATGTAAGTTCATCAGAAGCAGGAAGCTGCCAAACAACCAGTGGGGCCACTGGACGATCGAGATGCTAAAAGAGCACTCAAAGACGATAAGGCCATTGTGGAGAAACTAAATTAATTCTTTCCATTGGTCTTCACAGCTGAGGATGTGAGGGAGATTCCCAAACCTGAGCCATTCTTTTTAGGTCACAAATCTGAGGAACTGTCCCAGATTGAGGTGTCATTAGAGGAGGTTTTGGAACAAATTGATAAATTAAACAGAAATAAGTTGGTAAGGACCAGATGGTATTCACCCAAGAATTTTGAAGGAACTCAAATGTGAAATTGCAGAACTACTAAGTGTTGTTTGTAACCTAACATTTAAATCAGCTTCTGTACCAAATGACTGGAGGACAGCTAATATGACGCCCATTTTTAAAAAGGGCTCCAGAGGTGACCCTGGCAACTACAGGCCAGTAAGCCTTGCTTCAGTACTGGGCAAATTGGTTGAAACTATCATAAAGAACAAAATTGTCAAACACACAGATGAACATAATTTATTGGGGAAGAGTTAACATGGTTTTTGTAAAGGGAAATCATGCCTCACCAATCTACTAGAATTCTTTGAGAACAAGCATGCGGACAAAGGAGATCCAGTGGATATAGTGTATTTAGAATTTTAGAAAGCCTTTGACAAGGTCCCTCACCAAAGGTTCTTAAGCAAAATAAGCAGTCATGGAATAAGAGGGAAGGTTCTCTCATGGATTGGTAACTGGTTAAAAGATAGGAAACAATGGGTAGGAATAAATGGTCAGTTTTCAGAATGGAGAGAGGTAAATAGCGGTGTCCCCCAGGGATCTGTATTGGGCCCAGGCCTATTTAACATATTAATAAACAGTCTGGAAAAAGGGGTAAACAGTGAGGTGGCAAAATTTGCAGATGATACAAAACTCTCAAGATAGTTACGTCCCAGGCAGACTGCGAAGAGCTACAAAAGGATCTTTCAAAACTGGGTGACTGGGCAACAAAATGGCAGATGAAATATAATGTTGATAATTGCAAAGTGATGCCCATTGGAAAGCATAATCCCAATTATACATACACAATCATGGGGTCTAAATTAGCTGTTATCACTCAAGAAAGAGATCTTGGAGTTGTTGAGTGGATGATTTCAGAGAACTATCCACAATGTGCAGCAGCAGTCAAAAAAGTGAACAGAATGTTGGGAAACATCAAAAAAGGGATCGATAATAAGACAGAAAATATCATGTTGCCTCTCTATAAATCCATGGTACGCCCACATCTTGAATACTGCCTGCAGACATGGTCGTCCCATCTCAAAAAGGATATGTTGGAATTGGAAAAGGTTCAGAAAAGGGCAACAAAAATGATGGTATGGAACAGCTTCCATATGAGGAGAAATTAATAAGACTGGGACTTTTTATTTCGGAAAAGAGACAACTAAGGGGGACCATGATAGAGGGTGTGGAGAAAGTAGATAAGGAAGTGTTATTTACTCCTTCTCATAACAGAAGAACTAGGGGTCAGCAAATGAAATTAATAGGCAGCAGGTGTGAAACACACAAAAGGAAGTATTTCTTCACACAAGGCACAGTCACCCTGTGGAACTTTTTCCCAGAGGATGTTGTGAAGGCCAAGACTATAACAGGGTTCAAAAAGAACTAGATAAGTTCATGGAGGACAGGTCCATCAATGGCTATCAGCTGGGAATGGGTGACAGGGGATGGATCACTTGTTGATTACCTGCTCTGTTCATTCCCTCTGGGGCACCTGGCATTGGCCACGGTTGGAAGACAGGACACTGGGCTGGATGGACCCTTGGTCTGACCCAGTCTGGCTGTTCTTATGCTGTACGCACACAGTGGCAGTCCCTGCCCTGAGATCTGGGTCTGGTCTGACCCTTCCCAGCACTGGCTGAGGGACAGAAGCCAAGGTTAGCAACTGCTCTGCGGCCAGAGCTACCCTGCATTGTTCCAGGTCAGAGCTCAGGTCCTGGAGACCCTGGGGGCAGTTGAGGGACCAGAGAGGAGCTGGGCACGCACTGAACTCTCTGTTGTTCTCCCCGCTAGAGAAGGGGACTGGGGAGTGCATGGGGCTGCCCAGGTCTCTGTGGGTTGGGCTGGTGGCTGTACTCCCTTTGGGGCCCTGCCCAGCCCGTTGGCATTGCCTGGAGGTATGAAGGAGCAGGGGCTTGAGACAAGTTCTCACCTGCCAGTGCTCCCGTATTGCAGGGGACCATCCTCAATCCGCTGCTTTTGGCCTCTTTCCATACCCGCCCTAGCTCCAGGTCGGCAGCAGAACCCTGCCAGTGATGAGGTGGAGCAGAGGGGGCCTAGAGGGGGAGGAGGATGGGGTGGAGTGCATGAGGGGATGGAGGTGTACCTAGGGGGAATGGATGTATGGTTACATAGGGGGAGGGGTGGGTGGCAGGGTGCATACAGGAATGGATGGAGAAATACATGTGGGGATGGCTGGCTGGGTGCACTGAGGGGGATACACTGGACGGGATAGAGGGGTAGCACAAGACAGACTGGAGACCAGGGTTTGGGGCAGTGTTTGCACGGGTGGTGACAGCGATGCTGCCTGTTACAGCTCTGTTTGGAGCAAGGGTGTTGAATTACGGCCAGCGCAGGAGCGAGCAGTAGAGTCTGAATTCCAGCTTTCCTTCCCGACCCAGACACGCCGGGCACCTCAACTATGCTGGGGCAGGCTGATGCTGCATCAGGAGGAGTGGGGCTCCTGGCAGGGCTAGGCGCAGTGCCTTGGGGGAGACAGCCTGTAAACCTGCCTGGCCCCCTGCAGCTAGGTCCCCGCCCAGGGCACCTGCCTGCCAGCCAGCCCCTGCCTGTCTGTGGGATTACACGGGAGAGGGTGAGGTTGCGAGCAGTGCAGGGCGCTCATCCCCAGGGGTCGCCTGGGTGGGGAGCATGCAGCGTGCATGTCATGGCCATAGGGCACCGGCCGCCATGCATGCTGCATTCCAGGGAGCATGTGCTTGCCTGTGGGATGTGGTGGCTGGCGTGACACAGGACATGGCTGCGTCACGCCTGTCATGGGCCGTCAGGTGGGAAATGAAGTCACTCCAGTGGGTGACTGATTTCTGGCCATGAGGTGGGAGAAGCTATCGCTGGCAGCAGCTGCCCTCCTGCTGTGAGCCCTGCCTGAGGCCTGGTGGAATGGGTGGCCCCTGGGCCCTGTCCAGGTGGCTCTGGTGCCCACAGGTCTGGATCTGGCCAGGGCCCTGGAGGCAGCTGGGCAGCCCCGTTCCACCTGGCTGGCGTTGGCAGGCAGAGCCAGGGCAGGACGTTGGTTGCAGGCCTGGCCTCCGAACTCCTTGACTGTTGTTTTCTGTTTTCCAGGCTGGTCTCCAAAGCTCGCCCCAAACACAAGCACAGGGAGGACTTTGGGGGCCCCAAGAGGTAAATGGGTGCCCAGCACCAAAGGGTCCCAGAGTCCAAAGGCCTGTGGCCTGCTCTGGGGTTCCCTGGTGAAGAAGGAGTGTGGGCCTCACTGGCCGGGGCCGTGGGGGGGCGTGCTGCAAGGGGCTGGGCCATGGAGTGACAGTCTCTCTCTTCCCTGCTGATTGGCGTTAGGGTCATGGATGGTGAGAGTCTCTGAGCTGGGCTCGGCGCCTGGCACCCCACTGCCCCTCCTATGCCAGGCACTCACGCTCTGCTCTCTGCCTGGCAGGTTGTACCTGGAACGGCAGCAGCTCAGCTACCGGCTTCACTCGGTGGCCTGCACAGGGAACGAGGTACACATCTCCATGTGCCCCTTTGAATTCTACAAGGGCAACGCCACTGCGGCTTGCAAGGGCGGGATGCCTGCAGTGGTGAGCTGCAAACCAGGGCCCCTCTTCACCACGGGCAGTGCCCCGAAGAAGAAGAAGCAGGGGCAGCAGCAGGGCCAGGTAAGCGCTCTCCGTGGGTTCAGCATGGGGCACGCGGATTGTTTTGCTCCACCCACTGGGTATCAGGCAGTGATGCCAGCAGCTGGAATGGGGGGCACCCAGTGTCAGTCACTGGGCTGGGGCAGCCTATCTCCCAGGGCCTGGTGGGGGCAGCAGGAGCCCCAAGGTGCCCCTTGGTTCTGGGCCTGGCAGAGGGCAAGAGCGTCGGCTGTCCCGTGACATGTCTACCACGCTCTCGCAGCAGCGCGTCCGGCTGAAGGGCGGAGCCAAGGCCGGGGAAGGCCGGGTAGAGGTGCTGAAGAACAGCGAGTGGGGCACCGTCTGCGATGACCGCTGGAACCTGCTGACAGCCAGCGTGGTGTGCCGTGAGCTGGGGTTCGGCAGTGCCAAGGAGGCTCTGACAGGAGCACGCATGGGCCAAGGTGAGCTGGGTGGTGAGGGGAGAAGGTCTGGGGCAGCCCTGTGCATATGTGGGAGCATGTCAGAGCATGCCGGGGAGCCCATCAGGGCATGAATGTGGGCACGTCTGCCCTCTGGGCGCTTGTTTGAGCCCCTGAGCCTGTTGCTCTGCAGGGGAGAGAACCTGGCTCGAGGGGGCTCTCCCCGCATTGGGGTGAGCCTGGTGCTGAGCAGCTTCAGCTCTCAGTGAGCGCTCTGCAGTCTGGGTGCCCTCGCGCCCTGCCCCTGCCCTTTCTCTGCCAGCCTCTCCAAGGGGACTCCAGCCAGGCAAGCTGCAAGGGCTGGGAGAAATTCAGCCTCCAAGGGAGAGCCCGGCCCCTGCAAGGCCAGCGAAATGCCTGACGCCAGCCCCATAGGAACCGATCAGGTCTGAGGAGACCCCGATATGTGTCCAAGAGGAGGGAGGGTTGGGGCGAGGAGTGCTCCTAGGACTAGGGTAGGTATGGGGATTTCCTGGGGCACTGTCTGCCTGCCTCCCCATCACCCTGGCCCCTCTGCTCCCTGGCAGGGATGGGTCCCATCCACATGAACGAGGTGCAGTGCACAGGCTCGGAGAAGTCGCTATGGAGCTGCCCTTATAAGAACATCACGGCGGAGGACTGCAAGCACTCCGAGGATGCCGGGGTCCGCTGCAACATCCCCTACATGGGCTACGAGACCATGGTCAGCACCGCACCCTGTGCAGGGGGGCAGCCCCCAAGGGCTGTGGGGAGGGGCCTGGCTTAGAGGCTCACTGAGCGTGGGGAGCCCAGGATCTGCTGCTCTGCCAGAGCCCCAGGTCCCTGCCCATCTGCTAGCAGAGTGGGGGCCATCTCTCCTGGCAGGGCTCACAGGTCCCAGCCCTCTGCCAGCAGTTCCCCCCTCATGTTCCAAGTCACACTGAGAGCTCCTGGGCATGGAGGGGGCAGGAAAGGTGGCCCTGACACCATTTGTATGCCACCTCCGAGACACAGGTAAAGTGGGCATTGCCGCCCCCCAACAAACAGGGTGCTCGTGCCGACTAGAGCCAGGTGTTACTGCAGTGGTGTGGAGCCATGGGACCCAAATGGGAACCCCACACGTGCACAGCGCTGTCTGACTGCCCACAGGGAAACCCGGCATGGTAACGCTTTTCACGGGCATCCCACGAGACCCTGGGGTAGCCCCCTGCTCGGGGTGTATGTGTGTGTGTGTTATGTGCCAGCTGGGGTAGCCCCCTGCTGTGGGGGGCCATGTGCCAGCTGGGGTAGCCCCTGCGAGGGGATGGGGGGCACATGCCAGCTAGGTTTTACCACCCAGAACATATGGCAGAGACCCCAGTGCTGCCATGGTTCTTGCTGGTCCCATCCTAGGTGCCAGCTGGTGAGGCTGAAGGGAGACGATACCCAGGCTGGGATGTGGGAGGACTGGTCATACGCTCACCGCTGGGCACTTTGTGGAGCAGTCGGGCGTGGGAGGGGACCCTCAGCGCAGTCCCTGTTCCATTTCCTCTGCTCCCCTGTGGGTTGCTTCCCCATTCCATGGGTCTCAGTAGTGTCCTGGGGCCCCTGCCCCCAGGCGTCTCTCTCCCATGTGGGTTGGTGCTGGCCAGGGGCTGTGATGATGGGAGGTGTCTCACACGCCCAGGGTCTGTTCGATTCACAGCCTGCACTGGAGTTGTTTCTCTGCCCCTGGGCGTGGCACCCTGCAGTGCTACCCCAGGTCTGGGGAGGAGAGGAGCACCCGCCCACGGAGAGGGGAGTCCTGAGCCCCCGTCAGGATACTGCTGCTTTGCACTGCATGCTCCCTGCATGCTCATGGGGCCTGGGCACCGAGGAAGCCGGGGGCACACAGCTCCCCCCTCGGCACGCTCCCACCTTGTTCCCCTTGAACAAGGAGCTGCATGTGCTGCGGGTCTCTGCTGATTTCACTCCCCATCTCCAGGCCCCCAGCACGAGCCTGGACGAGGATATCGGCGCCTGCACGGCAGCTGGACAGGGCTGGAGTCACGTGGCGCGAGCTCTGCCCTGGTTCTGCCGCACTGGCCAGTGGTGGATTGGGAGGGGCAGCTTGGGCACATGGTGCCCCCTGGAGATGAAGTGACTGCAAATCAAAACAGCAGATGGGAGGGGCCGTCTGGGCTGCAGGGGGATCAGGGCTGGGGTGGCAGGATTGGCTCCCCAGGCCAGCTCTGCAAGGGCACTCCCTGGGCAGACAGGACCGGGTGCTGCCCAGGCTGCACCTGCTCTGAGATACAAGGTTCAGGCTGTAGGGGCTGCCCCACTGGCCCCTTCCCCAGCGCCAGTTCAGGCCCCAACCCCATGGGAAGAGCCAGCTTGTGGCTATGTGGGAGGCTGCTGAGGGACGTGGGGCACCTGTAGCTCTGCAAGTGGAGCCCTCAGGGACCCAGCTGGGCCCTGCCACCAGCCCCTCCCATGGCTCCCCCGCTAACCAGGCCTTGTCACCTTCTCTCTGCAGATTCGCCTGAGCGGGGGCCGGAGCCGCTTCGAGGGGCGGGTTGAGGTGGCGCTGGGCACTGGGAGCAATGGGCGCCCCGCCTGGGGCCTGATCTGTGGCGATGGCTGGGGAACCCTGGAGGCCATGGTGGCTTGTCGCCAGCTGGGCCTGGGATTCGCTAACCATGGCTTACAAGTAGGTGTTAGTGCTGGCTTGGCTAACCGCGTCACGCAGGGCCCAGGACTCCTCCGTGGCAGGGCGAGGACAGCATGCTGGGTTCACAGGCTGGCTGGCTGTGGGGCGGGGCTGCATGCTCACGGCCCATAGGGCTTCTTCACAGATCCGCATAGTAGGAGGAAGGACCCCAACCGAGGGCCGCGTGGAGGTGAAGCGAGGCAGTAAGTGGGGAACGGTCTGCAGTGAGGGCTGGACCACCAAGGAAGCCATGGTGGCATGTCGCCAGCTCGGCCTGGGCTACTCCTTGCATGCAGTGACGGTAGGTGCTGAAGGGGCCCAGGCCTCAGGGCCAGTGCCCGCTCCACTGGGAGTGTGGGGAGCAGGGGTTTGCCCACCGGGACCGCCTCAGGACTTGCTCGCAGGGCCCAGGCAGTGGGGGGAGGGATGCTTGGGGGCTTGGTCTCTGGGAGCTTCTGGAGGGGTTAAACTCACAGATGGCATTTGGGCCCGTGCCAAGCAGGCAGGAAGGTACGCACAGGTCCCACCGGGGGTGGGGAGGGGGAATGGCATGGACACGGCACACACAAGTGTGGGGTGGGAATGGGGCACGCCCGGGGCTCGGTGCCTGGCTTGCTGTGCAGAGGGGCAGGGGGCACACGGGTCTCTGACCAGCCCGGCGTCTCTCCCAGGAGACGTGGTACTGGGACGCCAGCAACGTGACGGAGATGGTGCTGAGCGGCGTGAGGTGCGCTGGCCACGAGATGGCGCTGAGCCACTGCCAGCACCACGGCAACAGCCTCAACTGCAAGAAGATGGGCACCCACTTCGCCGCCGGGGTCATCTGCTCCGAGAGTGAGCTGGAGCGGGGGGGCGGGAGCTCTCGTCACCCTGGCCCGGCTACTAGCAATCCCTCTGATGCAGTGGTTGTGCCTCGCAATGCGTTATGTGGGCTGCAGGTTGAGAACCACAGTCCCCTGTGCCCAGCGTGGGGCCAGGAGTGGAGCCTTGAGCGTCGGCCGGGCAGCCAGAACCCAAATCCTGCTGCCGTGCGGGACTGGGCAGCAGCCGGCACCCCCAGCACCGGGCCAGGAGCGGAGCGCCTGGGGGGCCAGCAGCCAGGACCTGACAAGAGGGGCCAGGAGTGGAACCCAACGTAAAACCTGGGGCAAACCCCTAGTTCCAAGAGACCCTCCCCACAGCCTGCCCCCAGACCCACTCTCCCGCCCACTGGGGCACTCACCAGCCCCTGCTGGTGCAGGTTGCAAGACCCTGTCTCCCCGTCAGCCAGCTCCATCCCCTGCCAGACCAGATCAGCAACTTTTGAACTTTTGTTTAGCACAGCTGGGCGCTACCTGGTGGCATCCCCTTGTTGAGAACTGCTGCTCTGAGCCACCCTTTCAGCCCTGGCCTGTGCTCTGATTGGCTGCTCTCAGGCCCCCTGCTTTGATTGGCTCAGACCTCATCATCATCCCTGCACTTAAACCAAATATGGCCTTGACCGCCTCTGTCCCCCCGCCCAGCACTGAGCAGGCCCCCCGTGTCCCCCAGAAAGGAGCAGGTGCCCCCGCATCCTCCAGCCCCCAGAACTGAGCGGGTCTCTTTCCCCCCAGCTGCCTCGGACCTGCTGCTGCACGCCCCGCTGGTCCAGGAGACGGCCTACATTGAGGACCGGCCCCTGCACATGCTGTACTGTGCGGCGGAGGAGAACTGCCTCTCCAGCACCGCCCGCAATGCCAACTGGCCCTATGGGCACCGCCGGCTGCTACGCTTCTCCTCCCAGATCCACAACCACGGCCGTGCCGACTTCCGCCCCAAGGCCGGGCGCCACTCCTGGGTCTGGCACGAATGCCATAGGTAAATGGGGGGCTCGCCATGGCGCAGGCGTGCAGGGACGTGGGCCAGGGCCAAGCTGGGAGGGAACCTCAATTGGGCCTATATGGGAACAATGAAGGCCAAGGTCCCAGGGGAGGCCGAGGTCCCAGGGGAGGCCGAGGGGGGCGGAGGCTGGGCAGAGCCTGGGGGAGGCCAGGGTGGTGTGGGGTGCTGCGCTCTGGGGAGTCAATGGGCCATGCTGGTGTCTTGCCTGTGGCTGCTAGCCAACTGCTCAGTCACTGCCTGTCTGCCACAGGGTGAGGTCCTGTGGGGCTGTGGGAGTGGCAGTCCTGGGGCTGGACCCCGCCATGCTCAGTCTCTGGGCCAGCCTGTGTGTCGGGGGTGGGGTTGGGGGGAGCCTTGCAGTTACTGAAGGAGGTGGAAGTGAGGGGTAGCACCTTGCCACCGCATGACTCTTTGACCTAATATCGGCCCCAGGAAGTCCTGGCTCCAGGCCTTGAGGGGTAGCTGAGTGCCCAGGTCGTCCTGTCCAAGCCATGGCCAGTCTCCTCTTTGCTCCATGGAGTTCAGTCCCGCTCTGGGGGGTCTCCCAGCCTGGCAGGGGAGCTCTCGGGGGACGGACCATGGCAGAAGGCTGGGGGTGGGGAGGAGGCTGGGCTTGGAGATGGGAGGGGGAACCCTGGGGGAGGCTGCTGTAGGGCAGGTTATGGGAGCCCTGAGGGAGGGGGATCTGTGGGCTCCAGCGGCACAGAACTCGCATGGAGACATAGTGGGGCTGTGAGCACTAACGTAGGGGTCCAGGGTCCCTGTGATCGCCCATTCTGGGGTCTTTTCCTTGCTCCCCTCTTGTTCTGCATGACAATGCAATTGCAGCAGGTGCTGGAGCGGGGCCAGGGCTCTGTGCAGGGCTGCATGTGAAAGTGCTTGGAGGTATGACTGGGGCCCCACTGGGGGTATGTGTCTGGGCTGCCTCCCAGTGCCTCTCTGGGACAGACAGATAGATACATGCCCTGCCTCCCCTCCCACTCCATGCCTCTCTCCGGGCTGCCCCTTCCCCAGGGCCACGTCCCCAGGATATTCCCAATATGCCGCCCTCATGCATATCTCTGGGCCGTTCTCCCTCCTCCACCCTCCCAGGCCTCCCCCTGGCTCGCACCCCACCCACTGTGTCTGTCTCTGGGCTCTCCCCTCCCCCCCGCTGCAGCACACCTCTGGGATCCCCCCGTCTCCGCCCCGCCCACTGTGTGTCTGTGGGTGCAGTGCCTTCGGTTTGTGTCTCTTCCCAGGCACTATCACAGCATGGACATCTTCACCCACTACGACCTCCTGACCGCCAATGGCAGCAAGGTGGCCGAGGGCCACAAGGCCAGCTTCTGCCTGGAGGACACAGAGTGCCAGGAAGGTGGGTGCAGCGTCTTGGCACTGCCAAGAGTCGTGCTGGAAGCGAGGGGAGAGCCCAGGGTGGGGCTGTGTCTGCCCACTGATCTCTCCTTCCTCTGGGGCTGCCCCATGGGGAGCTGCTGCCTGTCTCGGGCTGGGCTCGCTGTGGGGCGGAGGGAGGGCCAGGGTAAGTGACCTCACCCCCCGTTCCAGACGTGGCCAAGCGATATGAATGTGCTAACTTTGGAGAGCAGGGCATCACCGTGGGCTGCTGGGACCTGTACAGGCACGACATCGACTGCCAGTGGATCGACATCACCGATGTCCGGCCCGGCAACTACATCCTGCAGGTACGTGGGGCAGAGGCTGCTGCGCCCTCCCCATGTGTGTGTGGGCAGCTGCCGGGTACCCGGAGCCCCAGCTGCTGCCGGCTCTTCTCTGCCTCCTGCTTCCTAGCCCGTCAGAGCTTGCTTTCCAGAGCCTGTGTGAGTGCAGTGTGTGTGTGTGGTCGCGTGGAGTGGCTGTGTGCCTGAGTGGGGTCGGGTGTGCACCTGGCGGGAGGGAAGGGCTGGCGTCTGGGCTGGGACGGGCCAGTCTCGGAGGGATGAGTTTATTGGTAGGTGCTGTCCTAGAGCTGAGGTTGCATTTAGTTTGTGGCATGATGGGGCCATGGGCTCTGCTCATGTGGCAGTGAGTTCCACAGTCCAGGGATGGCCTCCAGGACGGTTCTGTCTCCCACTCTCCCCACCTTGGGCTGCCAGGGTCAGTGTCCTGGTGATGTAGCAGTCAGAGAGGTGTTTCTCAGGGAGGGATCCCCAGGGCGTGGCTAGCAGCCCAGAGGCCTGGAGCTGGATTCTGTACTCAGGGGTGAGGCTGTGCAGAGCCGGGCCCTGTGGGGAATGTGGGCCCAGCACCCTGTGCTGCTGGGTGTGTACCAGATGGAGCTTTCTCAGGCCAGGAGCTTTGTGTATAGCTGGGCCAGCTGCTGAATGTGTGTGTGCGTGTGCGGGGGGGGGGGGGGGGGACACACATCATAGGGAATTAGGATTTAAATTGCAGCTGCTTAATCACATATTTAAAATCCTGGCTAACAAAACCTCAGCATGGGGCAAGAACTGGGGCGGCCGCCGTTCTAGCCAGAGAGGGACACAGGGGTACATGGAGCCCTGGCCGGGGGGGATGGAGGAAGGGACACGGGTGTGGCGGCCAGACAGTCCCTCAGCCCCAGGTTGGTGCCCTTGGCAGGTGGTGATTAACCCCAACTACGAGGTGGCCGAGAGCGACTTCACCAACAACGCCATGAAGTGCAACTGCAAATACGACGGGCATCGCATCTGGGTGCACAACTGCCACATCGGTGCGGGGCCGCGCCAGAGCCCTGGGAGAAAGGGGGCAGCCTCACCGGCACAATGGGGGGCAGGGCAGCAGAAAGCGGTGGGGGTGGTGCAGGCAGGCGGGGAGGCACCAGTGTTGGGCACCTCGGGTGATGTGGGGGGTAGGTTTGGGGGGAGGGGAGGTGACATTAGCGGCGGGTGCAGGGCAGGCTGGTGCTGAGGGCGGTGAGGGGTAGGTTTGGGAGAGTGGGAAGAGGGGGGTGTTGAGGGCATGGTGGTGGGATACGTTTGGGGATGGTGGGGACTGGGGGGCCCACTGGCTGGGGGTATGGGGCAGGGAGATGGGTGGGAGGGGAGGTGGCACTGGGTGCAGGGCAGGCTGGTGCGGAGGGCAGCGTGGAGTAGGTTTTGGGGAGGTGGCATTAGCTACGGGGGCTGGGCAGCGGTGTGAAGTAGGTTTTGAGGGGGTGATGGGGACCGCGGGTGGCGGGGAGGGGGCATTGGTGGCAGGGCAGCATTGGTGGCAGGGTGGTGCTAGGGGCAGGGAGATGGGGAGGTGGGATTGGCTTTGGGGGCTGGGCTGGGGCAGGGAGATGGGGAGGTGGGATTGGCTTTGGGGGCTGGGCTGGGGCAGGGGTCTGCTGGGGGTGTCTTCCCTCACTGGCGCCTACATCTCACCTTGTACTTCAGGTGACGCCTTCAGCGAAGAGGCCAACAAGCGGTTTGAACAGTACCCAGGACAGCTCAACAACCAGATTGTATAGTGACCCGCTGTCCCCTCCCACGCCCCCTGGAGACGGCCATCTCCCCCACCGCTCCCCCACATGCCGGGTGCTCCAAGGAGGAAGCAGTTTGTCCTGGGCTGGCAGCGTCACGTCCCCGGCTGGCTTGCGGGGCTCCGCGGTGCGAGAATCTGTGCCCAGCAGCAGCTGCTCCATGCCAGGTGCAGCCTCTGTCCCGGCCTGGCCGGGGAGTCCTCGGGTGTCTCTGAATCTCGGGCAGGATTTTCTTGGGCTGAGGTGGCCACCAAGTTCTTGTCTGGCTGTGCAGGGCCTGATAGGAGGTCGGCGCTGGGCACTGCGCCCCATGGCACCCAGCCCTGCTCAGGGAGAACTGTGGACTTCTACCACCGGGCAGTATGGGGGCTTCCCCACCTCCTTGTGGGGCTGAGGTGCAGCATGACACCAAGCAGGGCAGGGTTAGAGCCGGGGCCAAATCTAGCAGCTTCCTCTCCCTGGGAGGGTTGGAGAAGTGTGTGGATGGCCACCTGGTGCCTCCAGCTCTTGCCCCCCATCCTCTCCTCCCACCGCTGCCATGCTCATCCTGCCCCTCCGCCCCACTGGCCTTGACCAGCACCCACAGCCCCAAGCCGTTTTCCTGCCCGGCTGACACAGGAACCTCATGGAGGAGCAAGCAACGGCTCCAGGCACCTTACACAGCGTCCCTAAGCCTATGCCACCTGCAGGGCTGGCCAGGTCTGGGCCCTGTCACGCCTTTCTCTGTACAGTAGCTTGTCTATGTACTTGAAGAGCTAAACCATGTCAGGCAGCCCTGGGCCCTGCTTCCCCGACTGTGGCAGGGATGCCCCCATTTCTTAGTTGTCATTTTATTTTCTGTATAAAAGTGACTGTCTGTTTCCCTGCGTGCTACTGGCTGGTTTTTCCCAAGCTACAGGCAGGGGCTTCCTGCCTGGCCAAGGGGAGAGCCTGGCCCTGAGACAAACCAGGGCAGCACAGGCCTGCTGCTCATGCCCACTGCTCCCAGCAAGGGTAGGTGCCCGCATGGAGAACATGGGGATGGGGGCTCAGCTGCAGTGCACATGCCAGCCCCAGCACCAGCAGTGAAGGGCAGAATGGCTTTGCCCTGTCCCTGACAGGGGAAGCCTCAGGAGGGGAAGCCCAGTGCTCCCTGGGCCACAGGCTGGGCAGCTGCTCCTGCAAAGGGTGGGGTAGGGCTCGCTGCCCCACAGCCTGGGGGTGTGGGAATACCACCCAATGAACCTGAGGCAAACCCCAGGAGGGCCAATGCCCTGAGGGCTTGAGCATGGCTGGAGCCACTGAAAGAGGCAGCTGCAGGGGACCTCTACCTGCGAGCTGGGATGCGGGGGGTCAGCTGCTAGGAGATAAAGGAAGCCCAGGCTGGGGGGCAGAGCTGGGCCTGGCCCCAGGGAGTGGGGTTTGTTGGTGCGACAGGAGGGGGCAGACCGCAGAGCTTGCGGGGGGTGACGGAAGGAGAGAATGGTGTGCCTGGGGACAAACTGCCCTGGGCCAAAGCCCAAAATGGTTCTAACACAAGCCCCTGGCTCCAGCAGTTTGCCTGTGGCCCCACCAGACACGGCTTGGCAGCCCCAGAACTGCTGAACCCTCCCCCTGGACAAGGCGTGTCAGCAGGAGCAGCTGGGGCCTGGAGCCAGCCCTCTGCCCCCAAATGCATGGGGCTGTTGCTGGCTGGGCCCAGCCTGCAAGGAGGCACTGGGGCCAGCTCACAGCTGTCACTGGGCCCCTCATGCACCACTGAGGCAATGGCCCAGCCTGGCCTTGCTGCAGCAGGACTGCAGGCAGGCTGAGCCTCAGGGCCATGAGATGCAGGCGCATGGCAGCCCAGCACCCGGACCCCAAGGCACCAGAACTCACCTGGGCAGGGCATCTGGTGTGCATGGCCCAGCATCCTGCACCCAGGCGTAGGCACCCATGTCCCAACTGGGCATGATCAGGGCAGGAAGCCTGAGAAGTAGCAGTAGGTGCCACTGCAGAGGCCCAGGGCCAGCAAGAATCAGAGGCAAGTTGGTTGGGCTAGGAGAGCAGGGCCCCGAGGTGGGTATCCCAGGTGCCACCACTGAAGCTGGACTGAGGAGGAAGCCAGGTCAGACTAGTGGAGATCACTCACACAGGAGAGGTGAGGGCAACATAAGCAGCTGCATGGGGAGCTGCCTGGGCTGGGCTGGGGGAAGGTGCTGGCTCCTGGCTTTGGAAAGAGCCCTGGCATGGCTGCTACCACAGCTCTTTCCCCCCGCAAGCAAGTGCCCCTCCTCCCTGGCTGGGGTTTGGTGTAGAACAAATTCCACAGGGAGGGGCCAGGGCCAGGGCCAGGGCCAGGACTAGCTGTGAAAGGAGGCCTCTATGCTGGGCTGTTTTTCCTCAGTCTGGGAGTGAGCCGCCGTACTTCAGAGCTGCCTCCCCACCCAGCACTGAGCTCCTTTCATACGTTAAAGCAGCCACATGGCAGGGCAGCCCAGAGCCCCAGCCCAGCCATACAGCTGCTCTCCTGCTGGCAGCATTTCCCTGCCCTGGGCCCAGCTGGCTGCTCCCTGGCGCAGGAAATTCCAGGAATTGGGGAAGAGCATGGAGCTGCTGGTTCCCAGAACGCCACGCTGGGAGCTCCCTGCTGCAGGGCGCAGGGACAGGAACAAACAGCCCAGCCAGCAGCAGCAGGGCAGTGAGAGGCAAGCAGGTCCCTGCTCCCCAGCCAGTGCATGCAGGAGACCAAGGCAACCCTGTGGCTGTTGCTAGGTCAGGCAGGGAGTCTCAGCCGCACAGCTAAGGAGAGCACATCCAGGGGGCCTGCCCCAGCAGCCCCTGTGCCACCCTCCCTGAGCCCTGGGGAAGCAGCAGCCTGGGAGTGAGTGGGGCAGGTCTCCCTTTGTGAGGAGCTGGGAGGGGAGCACTCCAGCCGCCAGTGATCAGGCAGCTGGCCTTGAGGCTCCAAGGGACAGGTCTAGGCCCAAGGGAAGAGCTGGCCAGGACTGACACACATGTCCCCTTCCTGGCAGAAGCCAGGGCTCAGTTCAGACCCGGTACTGCAGCCCCTCTCACCGTGACCTGAGAGCAGCAGAGCCTGGAGACCATGCAGCGACTGGAAGTGATCCGAGCAGAACACTGCCTGCCGAGTCCCAGAGCATGAACTCCCCTCGCCCCCCCAGAGCAGCAGCAGCCATAAGCAGTGCTGGGGCAGGCTCAGCCTGGGTGCAAGAAGTGCTGACATCAGCCCTGGCACTTCCCCCTGGCCCCACGCCACAGCCACGCGGCCCTAATTCTGTGACGACGGGAGCCCCTGCAGCCCAGGAGGGAGATGCCATGTCCATGAGCAGCAGTCAGACCACAAACCCCACCGTGATCCCCAAGCGGGGCCAGAGCCCAGCCTGCCCTCCTCAGTGCATGACTAAAGCAAGCGGCTCAGTGGCTGGGGGCCTGCATCTCCAGGATGCCCTTGGCAAAACTCCGTCACCTGCCCTTGTCCGGCTCTGACTGCAAGAGGAGAGCCCCCACCCTGCCAGAGCTGGGGGTACCCATCCCAGGAGTGGCCCTGCCTAGCTGCAGCTGGATGCAGGTTCCCCCAGCCTCAGGAGGGAAGCAAGGGCCATGGCTGAGTGTTCCCCAAGAGAGGTTTAATGTGGATGAGGGAAGCAGACAGCAGCCGCCCTGCCATAAGCCAGTTCCAGGACCAGCCCCGCTGGCTGGGGCATTTCAGGCTCTTGCGAAGGCCCTGAGTCTCCTCTGTGCTGCCCTGTCTGGAAGCACAGGACCTCCTGCCTGTCACCTCAAGCCTCTCACTCGGTTTGTGTGCTTCAAGCTAAGGCCCAGTGCCCAGGCCAAGTCCATTGCGCCCCCTGCCAGCTGGGCAGCTCTCTACTCCGTGACCTCAGGGCTGACGTTCACCAGCAGCACGTCATGGCCTCGCCGCACCAGCAGGGTCAGGCTGTTCTGCATCCGCACAGCCTCGTAGATGTCCTCTGCACGCCGCACCGCCTGCCCATTGATCTCCTGCACAACATCACCCGCCTTCAGGCCCGCCCTGTCGAGAGAGCAGACACCAGCATGCTGGGGGTCCGGCAATGATGTATGCAGACCCTCTCCACCCCCCCAGAGCCCTACCCCAGGCAGATAGGGATGTGGAAGTCTAGCCCTGCCTAGAGCAGCTGGCTGGCTCTGGGTTGTGGCTCCCCTGGGAAAGCTGCAGTGTACTGAGGTGACTGCAGCCCTCCCAGCCCGGACAGGTTAATCTCGTCAGGAACACACTGGCTGCTGGTGCAAGCTGCCTGGGGGCAGGGGATGTGCACTGAGTCCACAGTGAGCACCCTGCTTTCTGGCCCCCAACCCCCCACAGCAGCTAGCGTCAGGACCTTCCTTGTAAGCAGCACTTACTGATGGGCTGGGGAGCCAATGATCACCTTGTGGATCAGGACCCCATAAGAGACATCAGGGAAGCTGGAGTCTCGCAGCTTCAGCTCGGCCAGGATACTGCAGAGAGAGAGAGAGAGCGTGCGCATCACTGAAACACCACCCAGCCAGAGGGCACTGGTGAGGGGCTGAGGACACCGTGTCCCAGCACTGCAGCAGCCTCACCAGGCAATCAGCTCCTCATGGGGAACAGAGCACGAAGCCACCAGGTGGGACTTTGCCCAGCCCTACAACCTGAGAGAGACCCCAGCAGCCAAGCCTGCCTCGCCCCCAGCCACACTGAGGGGACAAGGAAGCAGAGCCGCTGCCCATCCCCATGTGCCCCTGACACACAGCAGTCCTCCAAGGACAAGGCAGCCGGAAAAGAAAGTGGGAGATGCCAGGCAGGACCAGAGCCAGCCTGCACCCAGCCCAGTTGCCCATCCCTGAGAACGGCCAGCAGTAGACGCTCCAGCAACAGCCCTGCCATAGGGGGGCCAGGTCAACCTGCCCCAGGAAAGTCCCCTCCTGACCTGGCAGCAGGCAGGTTCTAGCTCTGCCACACATGTGCTATTCTAGCTGGGCCATTGTCTCCTGCCCCTCTCCAGGACTCAGCCCTGCTCCCCCAGAAAAAGCCGACTTGCCAGCACACGGGCGCCATCTCCTGGACACCAAGAAATGCAGAAAAGAAATCAACCACCACCATTAACCCCGATTCAAGGAGACACGGGTGGCATCTCCCCTTCCAGCACCCCAAGAAGGGGATGTAAAAGACCAAGGGCACCAAGCAGCAGGATCCCCAGGCCTACCTGGAAGCAGGACTCAAGAGCAGAGCATAAGCTCATAGCAAAGGCAGCAGTACCTGTCCCCGTTCCCAGAGAGTGCTCGGGGGAAGATGCCTGCTGGTTCATGCCACGGCATTCTTTTGTTGGACCACCGCACTACTAACCCCACTAACAGACTGAGCTCCGAGAGTCAACTAAAGATACATCCCAAGGCCCAGCCAGCCAGAGACCCACAAAGTCCCTTATGCAGCTGAGCCTGAAAGCTCCAGCCAGCCAAGACACTTCAAGGCTCAGTGGACGCCCTTCGGTGCACTGCCAGGGGCTGCCTGACTAGGACATCCCGGAGCACGTCATAAAGCAGCGTGTAGGGAATGCAGAACTCTGGCCACCTGCCATGGAACACAAGAGCTAACTTTTGTTACTGTTGCCTGGCGATTTCCCATTACCCCAAATGAGCCATTTGCATTCCTCCGGAATGACACAACTTCTCCATAATTGCTGTGCAAGACCATGCTGGCCTGCGGTGACACAGTAAATTTCAAGATGCCTGGTGTTGGGCAGAGATGAGAATAGCTCTCTCTGTCCAACTCAGCTAAGAGACGGCTGGGAAGGCGTGATGGGAGACTGAATCTCCCTGGAAACTCATCTGCCAGGGCGAGGGCTGGGCGACTGCAGCGAGCACAAGTAAACTAATTGGCCTGGGGTGAGGTGGGACCCACGGGGGCTTTTCCAACTGCAGAGTGATTCTCTGTCTGGGTTCCTGAAGTTGGGGGGTGACAGGTTCCCCTCTCCAGCTTGCTTTCCCGAGAGACTCTGGCCCCCAGGAAAGCTCTGGAAGCATCACCCGGCCCCAGACTCAGGACACATACCTGGGGGTCAGTGTTAGCATCATCACCCCAATGTAGCGGCGCTTCATCTCCGTGCTGCCAAACCAGGAGCCTGTAAGAGGAAAGGAAACCAGGTCTAGAACGCGCAGGAAGGGACCTGTGTGAGCATGCTCCCTCACCCTTCACAGCACAAGGCCAGTCCAGCTGGGTCACTGCTCAATCACCTTACAACACAGGGAGGGGCTCCAGCCCAGGAGAAAACCATGCTCCGCCCCCAGGCTGCAGCCTGCCAGTTCCATCCCACGCATCCACCCCCTACAGGGCAAGTATCACGTGGGGAAACAGCGGCTGGGGGCTGGGAGAGCAGGGACACCCCAGATCATTGCCAACATCCTAACTGCAGCTGCTCTGCCATTCGGACCCACCACGCACAGACTGGGGCTGCCGTTGTGTAGAGAGCCCAGATTCTGGTCAAGGCCCTGAGTAGATCCCCAGAGCACCCTGCCAACCCATAGGCAGAGAGAGGCCCAAAGTCAGAGTTTAAGGCCAGAAGCGACCCTCAGATCAATCTAATCTGACCTCCTGTACATCACAGGCCACTGAATTTCACCCAGGAAGCCCTGCATTGAGCCCAAGAGCTTGTAATTACGAATGGCTACTGAGCCAGACCAACGATCCATCGAGCTCAGTATCCTGGGTTCTGACAGTGTCTGGTGCCAGACGCTTCGAAGGGAATGAACAGAACAGGGCAATTAGCAAGTGACACATCCCCTGTCATCCAGTCCCAGCTTCAGGCAGCCAGAGGCTAGGGACACCCAAAGCATGCGGCTGCGTCCCTGACCATCTTGGCTAATAGCCATTGATGGACCTATCCTCCAGAAACTTCTCTCTTTTCTGAACCCTGTTATACTTTTGGCCTTCACAAAATCCAGTGGCAGCAAGTTCCACAGGTTGACTATGTGCTGTGTGAAGAAGGTACTTTATATTTGTTTTAAATCTGCTGCCAATTAATTTCATTGGGTGATTCCTGATTCTTGTGTTATGTGAAGGGGTATATAACACTTCCTTATTCACCTTCTCCACACCAGCCATGATTTTATGATCTCTATCACATCCCCCTCAGTCTCATCTTTTCTAAGATGAACAGTCCCAGCCTCTTTAATCTCTCATATGGAAGCAGTTTCCATACCCCTATGACAGGTTTCAGAGGAACAGCCGTGTTAGTCTGTATTCGCAAAAAGAAAAGGAGTACTTGTGGCACCTTAGAGACTAACCAATTTATTTGAGCATGAGCTTTCGTGAGCTACAGCTCACTTCATCAGATGTATACCGTGGAAACTGCAGCAGACTTTATATACACACAGAGAATACGAAACAATACCTCCTCCCACCCCACTGTCCTGCTGGTAATAGCTTATCTAAAGTGATCAACAGGTGGGCCATTTCCAGCACAAATCCAGGTTTTCTCACCCTCCACCCCCCCACACAAATTCACTCTCCTGCTTGTGCTAGCCCATCCAAAGTGACAACTCTTTACATAATCAAGTCGGGCTATTTCCTGCATAGATCCAGGTTTTCTCACATCCCCCCCACCCCCATACACACACAAACTCACTCTCCTGCTGGTAATAGCTCATCTAAACTGACCACTCTCCAAGTTTAAATCCAAGTTAAACAAGAACATCGGGGGGGGGGAGTGGGTAGGAAAAAACAAGAGGAAACAGGCTACCTTGCATAATGACTTAGCCACTCCCAGTCTCTATTTAAGCCTAAATTAATAGTATCCAATTTGCAAATGAATTCCAATTCAGCAGTTTCTCGCTGGAGTCTGGATTTGAAGTTTTTTTGTTTTAAGATAGCGACCTTCATGTCTGTGATTGCGTGACCAGAGAGATTGAAGTGTTCTCCGACTGGTTTATGAATGTTATAATTCTTGACATCTGATTTGTGTCCATTTATTCTTTTACGTAGAGACTGTCCAGTTTGACCAATGTACATGGCAGAGGGGCATTGCTGGCACATGATGGCATAGATCACATTGGTGGATGTGCAGGTGAACGAGCCTCTGATAGTGTGGCTGATGTTATTAGGCCCTGTGATGGTGTCCCCTGAATAGATATGTGGGCACAATTGGCAACGGGCTTTGTTGCAAGGATAAGTTCCTGGGTTAGTGGTTCTGTTGTGTGGTATGTGGTTGTTGGTGAGTATTTGCTTCAGGTTGCGGGGCTGTCTGTAGGCAAGGACTGGCCTGTCTCCCAAGACTTGTGAGAGTGTTGGGTCATCCTTTAGGATAGGTTGTAGATCCTTAATAATGCGTTGGAGGGGTTTTAGTTGGGGGCTGAAGGTGACCGCTAGTGGCGTTCTGTTATTTTCTTTGTTAGGCCTGTCCTGTAGTAGGTAACTTCTGGGAACTCTTCTGGCTCTATCAATCTGTTTCTTTACTTCTGCAGGTGGGTATTGTAGTTGTAAGAAAGCTTGACAGAGATCTTGTAGGTGTTTGTCTCTGTCTGAGGGGTTGGAGCAAATGCGGTTGTATCGCAGAGCTTGGCTGTAGACGATGGATCGTGTGGTGTGGTCAGGGTGAAAGCTGGAGGCATGCAGGTAGGAATAGCGGTCAGTAGGTTTCCGGTATAGGGTGGTGTTTATGTGATCATTGTTTATTAGCACTGTAGTGTCCAGGAAGTGGATCTCTTGTGTGGACTGGACCAGGCTGAGGTTGGTGGTGGGATGGAAATTGTTGAAATCATGGTGGAATTCCTCAACATACCCCTATGTTGACCTTCTCTGTGCCTTTTCCAATTCTAATATATTATTTTTTAGATGGGGCAACCAGAACTGCATGCAAGCTGTGGGCGTACCATGGATTTATATAGAGGCAACATGGTATTTTCTGTCTGTCTGTATTTACTGTCTGTCTCTTTCCTAACCGTTCTATCACCATTCGCTTTTTTGACTGTCGCTGCACATTGAGTGGATGTTTTCAGAGAACTATCCACAGCGACTCCCAAGATTTCTCTTTAATGGTAACAGCTAATTTAGACCCCATCGTTTTATATGTATAGTTGGGATTATGTTTTCCAAGGTGCATTAACTTTGCATTTATCAACTCTGAATTTCATCTGCCACTTTATTGCACAGTCACCCAGTTTTGTGAGATTTTAACTTTGTAACTCTTCAGTCTGCTCTGGACCCATCTTGAGTAATTTTGTATCATCTGAAAGCTTTGCCACCTCACTGTTCATCCCTTTTTCCAGATCATTTATGAATATGTTGAATAGGTCTGAGCCCAGTACAGACCCCTGGGGAACACCACTATTTACCTCTCTCCATTCTGAAAACTCACCATTTATTCCCATCCTTTGTTTCCTATCGTTTAACCAGTTACTGATCCATGAGAGGACCTTCCCGCTTATCCCATGACAGCTTACTTTGCTTAAGAGCCTTTGGTGAGGGAACTTGTCAAAGGCTTTCTAAAAAGCCAAGTACACTATATCCACTGGATCATCCCTTGTCCGCATGCTTGTTGACCCCCTCAAAGAATTCTAATAGATTGTGGAGTCATGATTTCCCTTTACAAAATCTGGTGACTTTTCCCCAACAAATTGTGTTAATCTCTGTGTCCGATAATTCTGTTCTTTACTACAGTTTCATCCAGTTTGCCTGGTACTGAAGTTAGGCTTAACGGCCTGTAATTCCAGGATCGCCTCTGGAGTCTTTTAAAAATATTAGTATCACGATGGTAATCCTCCAAACATCTGGTACAGAAGCTGATTTAAGCAACAGGTTAGATACCCCAATTAACAGTTTTGCAATTTTGTATTTCAATTTATTCAGAACTCTTGGGTGAATTTTGTCCTGGTGACTTATTACTGTTTAATTGATCAGTTTGTTCCAAAACCTCCTCTATTGATACCTCAATCTGGGACAGTTCCTCAGATTTGTCATCTAAAAAGAATGTCTCAAGTGTTGGAATCTCCCTCTCATCCTCAGCCATGCAGACCAATACAAAGAGTTCATTTAGCTGTTCGGCAATGGCTTTATCATCCTTGAGTGCTCCTTAAGCACTTTGATTGTCCAGTGGCCCCACTGATTGTTTGGCAGACTTCCTGCTTTTGATAGGCTTAAATTTTTTGCTGTTTTTGAGTATTTTGCTAGTTGCTCTACAAATTCTTTTTAGGTCTGCCTAATTGTACTTTGTGTTTGTCAAAGGCATCTTCCAGAAAGGCGTCGCATCTGGAAAGAGATCAAGTGATGGAGAATCCACTGCTTCCCTTGGGACTTTTTTTTAAATCTGAATTTGTCTGGCTTCAAATTCCAGGCCCCGGTTCCTGTTCTGCCTGTCTCTGCTAGATTAAAGAGCCTGTTAGTACCCGGTATTTGCTCCCTGTGTACGTGCCTAGCCACTAATCAGGTCACCTGTATTTCACAGAATCATAGAGTATCAGGGTTGGAAGGGACCTCAGGAGGTCATCTAGTCCAATCCCCTGCTCAAAGCAGGACCAATCCCCAATTAAATCATTTCAGCCAGGGCTTTGTCAAGCCTGATCTTAAAAACTTCTAAGGAAGGAGATTCCACCACCTCCCTAGGCAATGCATTCCAGTGTTTCACCACCCTCCTAGTGAAAAAGTTTTTCCTAATATCCAACCTAAACCTCCCCCACTGCAACTTGAGACCATTACTCCTTGTCCTGTCCTCTTCTACCAATGAGAATAGTCTAGAACCATCCTCTCTGGAACCACCTCTCAGGTAGTTGAAAGCAGCTATCAAATCCCCCCTTATTCTTCTCTTCTGCGGACTAAACAATCCCAGTTCCCTCAGCCTCTCCTCATAAGTCATGTGTTCCAGACCCCTAATCATTTTTGTTGCCCTTCGCTGGACTCTCTCCAATTTATCCACATCCTTCTTGCGGTGTGGGGCCCAAAACTGGACACAGTACTCCAGATGAGGCCTCACCAATGTCGAATAGAGGGGAATGATCACGTCCCTCGATCTGCTCGCTATGCCCCTACTTATACATCCCAAAATGCCATTGGCCTTCTTGGCAACAAGGGCACACTGCTGACTCATATCCAGCTTCTCGTCCACTGTCACCCCTAGGTCCTTTTCCGCAGAACTGCTGCCTAGCCATTCGGTCCCTAGTCTGTAGCTGTGCATGGGATTCTTCCGTCCTAAGTGCAGGACCCTGCACTTATCCTTATTGAACCTCATCAGATTTCTTTTGGCCCAATCCTCCAATTTGTCTAGGTCCCTCTGTATCCTATCCCTGCCCTCCAGCGTATCTACCACTCCTCCCAGTTTAGTATCATCCGCAAATTTCCTGAGTGCGCAAACCACACCATCCTCCAGATCATTTATGAAGATATTGAACAAAACCAGCCCCAGGACCGACCCCTGGGGCACTCCACTCGACACCGGCTGCCAACTAGACATGGAGCCATTGATCACTACCCGTTGAGCCCGACAATCTAGCCAACTTTCTACCCACCTTATAGTGCATTCATCCAGCCCATACTTCTTTAACTTGCTGACAAGAATACTGTGGGAGACCGGGTGTCAAAAGCTTTGCTAAAATCAAGAAACAATACATCCGCTGCTTTCCCTTCATCCACAGAACCAATAATCTCATCATAGAAGGCGATTAGATTGGTCAGGCATGACCTTCCCTTGGTGAATCCATGCTGACTGTTCCTGATCACTTTCCTCTCATGTAAGTGCTTCAGGATTGATTCTTTGAGGACCTGCTCCATGATTTTTCCGGGGACTGAGGTGAGGCTGACTGGCCTGTAGTTCCCAGGATCCTCCTCCTTCCCTTTTTTAAAGATTGGCACTACATTAGCCTTTTTCCAGTCATCTGGGACTTCCCCCGTTCACCACGAGTTTTCAAAGATAATGGCCAATGGCTCTGCAATCACAGCCGCCAATTCCTTTAGCACTCTCGGATGCAACTCGTCCGGCCCCATGGACTTGTGCACGTCCAGCTTTTCTAAATAGTCCCTAACCACCTCTTTCTCCACAGAGGGCTGGCCATCTACTCCCCATGTTGTGATGCCCAGCGCAGCAGTCTGGGAGCTGACCTTGTTCGTGAAGACAGAGGCAAAAAAAGCGTTGAGTACATTAGCTTTTTCCACATCCTCTGTCACTAGGTTGCCTCCCTCATTCAGTAAGGGGCCCACACTTTCCTTGGCTTTCTTCTTGTTGCTAACGTACCTGAAGAAACCCTTCTTGTTACTCTTAACATCTCTTGCTAGCTGCAGCTCCAGGTGCGATTTGGCCCTCCTGATTTCATTCCTACATGCCCAAGCAATATTTTTATACTCTTCCCTGGTCATTTGTCCAACCTTCCACTTCTTGTAAGCTTCTTTTTTATGTTTAAGATCCGCTAGGATTTCACCGTTAAGCCAAGCTGGTTTATTGCTTTTATAAAGAGCTCAGTTTGTTTAAGTCTCTCGCTGCAGGGCATGTTCTCCAGCCCTCAAACCATCCGTGGCTCTACTCTGCACCAGCTCCAATTTTTTGATGTCCTGTTTAAAATGTAGGCACCAGAACTGAATGCAAATTTCAGTATTGGTCCCAGCAGCCCTTCTGGAGCTCTGAGGTGCCAGTTATCCAGTCTGCTGCTTTGAAAGTGGTTCTCCCTAGCAGTTGCAGTTTAACATCCTCCTCACTGGTGAGTTAAATCTTGGAGGAGTTGCACCCAGACAGTGTCTCTTTCCTGTTGCACCCCATAGATCCCAGGGAGCAGATGGGCACTCATGGCCTCTTACCGCTCAGTCCCCTCATACCAGGATGGGAGAGCTCCCTGGCCCCTTTGCAGTTAGGGACGCAGCTGCTAAAGCCTGAACCGCAGAACTGCACTGCCTTCCCTCAAAAGACAGATGGGCCCCGGCTCCCTTCTCCAGAACCCAGCTGTGCTCAGGCACCTCTGCCTGGCTCCATCCCTTCCAACCGCCCTGCTACCATAGCTGAGAAGAGGAGAACCAGCCTGCAGTGGAGGGGGGCTGGGGACAGCCCAGGGAAACTATGTCTCTGCCTGGAAGGGTCCCTCAAGGGGACAGGCTTTTCCCTTGGACTCTGACATGCCGGGGACAGGTTGAGACCCGGTCCTCTGCCAGGGATAGATGAATGACAGCCCCAGCAAGAAGTTTGGAGTGGGTGCTCCTATCCCCCACGCCCCCCAGCTCTGCTCCACTCCCTCTGCCTGTATCTCCCCTGCACCAGCACACTCACTTTTGCGCTGTTCCCCTTTCTGCAAGAATTCCCGCAGCCGGTCCGAGGGGATGGCGAAGGAGATACCTGAAGTCACCTTCATTGTGTTCACCCCAATCACTTCGCCGTCCTGCCGGGAGACAATCACCATACAAGCCAAGTAGGGTACCAGCCATCCCTCCTGACCCACAGTTTGCCCCCTTGCAAGGAGAAGAGGGACATGGCACTAGGCAGGACTCAAGCCCAGCCCATCCAGGCTTCCACCAATTTGCTCCCAACACACACTTGGCTGGGGGTGGGTCAGGCAGTGGTACTCTCACAGGGGCGAGCAAGTCGCACTGGCTGTGGGGGCCACGTAGCCCTTCTTCTGTGCCTTATAAGTACCAGACCCCAGTCCAGTTACCCCCAGTTTTAGACTGTGGCTCGGTTCAGGTCAGAGTCCCCTGGGCTGTGGGCAGGGCCTGGGAGATGAGCATCTTGGGTCAAGCTCCTGCCTCACCTGTCCCACCAAGGGTCTGATTCAATGCTCCCAGTGGAATATGAAGGGTCCCGGCTGCCTCATCTCTGTACTCCCTGCTGGCAGCATGAGGTGGGCACCCCCCTTCCACAGAGCAAATGAGACAGGGCTAGAGCACCCAGCTCAAACGGGCACCACATTCCCTCCCAGAAATGGCTAATGCCCAAATGGCAGCACTTACCAGGTTGACAAGGGGGCCCCCTGAGTTCCCGAACTGCAGCAGGAGAGAGAGGGGGAGAGTCAGGCCCCAGCAGCGACATTCCCACTGGAACACAGCCCCTGGGGAAAATAACCCAGATCCCCTGCCTCGCGCCCCCTCCTGCTTTCCAGCTCATCCTACAAGATGCCCTCTGAAACCTCAGTACATGCAGGCCCCCTTCCCTGGCTCCACCCACCACCCCAAACAGCAGTATGGTGGCTTCAGCCAGGCCCCCCACTGCCCTCCCCAGCCCCCGATTGCCCTGCCCCCCACTCCCCTTACATCTATGGCGGCGTCGGTCTGGATGTACTCCATGTTGGAATCGGCCAGGCCCAGCTCCTGGCTGCCCCGCTGGGCAGAGCTGACGATGCCAGAGGTGATGGTGTTCTGTAGAGCAAAAGGGCTGCCCATAGCCACAACAAACTCACCTTGGCGCACCTCTGAGGAGCGGCCCAGGGGCAGCGTGGGCAGAGGCTGCTGTGGGGGGAGAGAAAGACAGGTCAGCGCAGGGGCATTGGAGCAGGCTGAGAACTCCTAGCCTTGTGGGCAGATGAGGCCAAGAAAAGGCTGCGCGCCCCTAGCTGCGCACCTGGCTCCCCACACACCTTGGGGTTGATTTTGATAGTGGCAATATCTGCCACCTGGTCAACCTCCCGGACCACAGCATCGTAGAGCTCCCCGCTAGCCAGCTTCACCCGCACCCGCCGCCGATTCGCCACCACGTGGGCGTTGGTCACGATGAGGCCATCCGGGGACACCACAAAGCCAGAGCCGTTAGAGATGGGCACTTCCCGGCCCGAGAAGGGATGCCTGCGGGACAAGAGCCAGAGGCAGCTGTGGGGAGAGCCAGGGTCAGCGCGGGGGAAGGCACCCACCTCCATAATCGGCAATCCCTTTACTGGAGACACAGGCCCCCTTCCTGCCCATCGGCCACCTCTCCTGTGGCCAGGGCGCCCGCCTCCGCCTCCTTCTGACCAGAGCACCCAGCGGGGCCAGGCCCCTGCCACCAATCAGGACCACTACCTGGGAGGGCCGGAGCCGGGGACACGGGCGGTACCTGCCCAGGATCTCGATGTAGACCAGCGCGGGGGCGGGGGGTCCGGAGGAGGGCAGGCCAGGGGGTGAAGGGTCGGGGGGTGGCCGGCGCTGGGCGCGGGCTGGGCGGGGCCGGTACCTGCCCAGGATCTCGATGTAGACCAGCGTGGGGGCAGGGGCCAGCGTGGGCGGGGGGGCTGGAGGGGGAAGGGTCGGGGGGCAACGGTACCTGCCCAGGATCTCGATGTAGACCGGCAGGGGGTGAGCGGGGGGGCTGGTACCTGCCCAGGATCTCGATGTAGACCAGCGCGGGGGCGGGGGCCGGAGGGGGAAGGGTCGGGGGGCCGGGGGGGGGGTGGGGGGGGGGGGAGGGTGGGGGGCCCTGGGGGGACCGGGGGGGGCGGCCCTTGGGGGGACCGAGGGGGGGACCGAGGGGGGCCGGTACCTGCCCAGGATCTCGATGTAGACCAGCGCGGGGGCGGGGGCCGGAGGGGGAAGGGTCGGGGGGGAGGGCGCTGGGGCCGGAGGGGGAAGGGTCGGGGGGGGGCGGCCCTTGGGGGGACCGAGGGGGGGCCGGTACCTGCCCAGGATCTCGATGTAGACCAGCGCGGGGGCGGGGGCCGGAGGGGGAAGGGTCGGGGGGCCGGAGGGGGAAGGGTCGGGGGGCGGAGGGGGAAGGGTCGGGGGGCCGGAGGGGGAGGGTCGGGGGGCCGGAGGGGGAAGGGTCGGGGGCGGCCCTTGGGGGGACCGAGGGGGGGCCGGTACCTGCCCAGGATCTCGATGTAGACCAGCGCGGGGCGGGGGGCGGCGGGGGGGGGGGGGGGGCCGGAGGGGGAAGGGTCGGGGGGGGCGGCCCTTGGGGGGACCGAGGGGGGGCCGGTACCTGCCCAGGATCTCGATGTAGACCAGCGCGGGGGCGGGGGCCGGAGGGGGAAGGGTCGGGGGGGGCGGCCCTTGGGGGGACCGAGGGGGGGGCCGGTACCTGCCCAGGATCTCGATGTAGACCAGCGCGGGGGCGGGGGCCGGAGGGGAGGTCGGGGGGCCGGAGGGGGAAGGGTCGGGGGGGGCCGGAGGGGGAAGGGTCGGGGGGGGGGCCGAGGGGGGGGCCTTGGGGGAGAGGGGGGCGGCCCTTGGGGGGACCGAGGGGGGGGCCGGTACCTGCCCAGGATCTCGATGTAGACCAGCGCGGGGGCGGGGGCCGGAGGGGGCCGGGTCGGGGAGGGTCGGCGCTGGGGCCGGAGGGGGAAGGGTCGGGGGGGGGCCGGCCCTTGGGGGGACCGAGGGGGGGCCGGTACCTGCCCAGGATCTCGATGTAGACCAGCGCGGGGGCGGGGGCCGGAGGGGGAAGGGTCGGGGGGGCCGGAGGGGAAGGGTCGGGGGGGCCGGAGGGGAAGGGTCGGGGGGGCGGCCCTTGGGGGGACCGAGGGGGGGGCCGGTACCTGCCCAGGATCTCGATGTAGACCAGCGCGGGGGCGGAGGCCGGAGGGGGAAGGGTCGGGGGGGGCCGGCGGGGGCCGGAGGGGGAAGGGTCGGGGGGGGCCGGAGGGGGAAGGGTCGGGGGGGGCGGCCCTTGGGGGGACCGAGGGGGGGGCCGGTACCTGCCCAGGATCTCGATGTAGACCAGCGCGGGGGCGGGGGCCGGAGGGGGAAGGGTCGGGGGGGGCCGGCCCTTGGGGGGACCGAGGGGGGGCCGGTACCTGCCCAGGATCTCGATGTAGACCAGCGCGGGGGCGGTTTTCTGCACCACGTCGGCGATGAAGTTGAAGGCGGCGCGGGCGGAGCCGGGGGGCGGCGCGGGCGGGGCGGGCACCGCGGCGCGCACCGGGGGCAGCAGCGCGGGCGGGTCCCGGCCTCGGGCCCGGAGCAGCAGCAGCAGCAGCGCCCCGGCCCCGGCCCCGGCCCCCGCCAGCGCCCAGCGGGCCCGGCCTCCGGGAGGCGGCGGCGGCGGCTCCCCGCGGTCCGGGCAGGGAGCGGCCGCCAGGCCCCGCGTCGGCCCCGAGACCCGCGTGGGCGCCAGCAGGGCCCGGCCCCGCCAGGCCGCTCGCACTCCGAGCGCCCGGGCCGCCGCCATTCTGCGCGCGCCGAGCCCGGGGCAGGCCGGGAGACGGAGTCCCGCGCGGGGCAGGCCGGGAGCGAGGCGCGCCGAGCCCGGGGCACGGCGGGAGATGGAGTCCCGCGCGGGGCAGGCCGGGAGATGGAGTCCCGCGCGGGGCAGGCCGGGAGCGAGGCGCGCCGAGCCCGGGGCACGGCGGGAGACGGAGTCCCGCGCGGGGCAGGCCGGGAGCGCGGTTCCGACCGGACGTGGCTTCCCTTTCCCAGACGGCCCCGGCGGGAGATGGAGTCCCGCGCGGGAGATGATGGCAGGCCCTGGGTGCGAGGCGGCTCGGGACCGGGGGATCCCCGGCCTCGGGTCATGGAGCCTTCGCGCGCCGAGGGCCCGGCCGGTGAGACGGGGTCCCTCTCTGCGGGGGCGGGCCGGGGAGGAGGGTCGCGCCTGAGCCCGGGGGTTCGGGCGGGGGAGGGAGTCTCGCTCTGGGCGGGGAGGCCGGGAGGGGGAGGGGGGCTCGCTCTCTGGGCGCGGGCGGGAGAGGGAGTCCCGCTTTGCGGGGCAGGCCGGGAGCGCGGTTCCGACCGGACGTGGCTTCCCTTTCCCAGACGGCCCCGCGCGGAGAGCGGCCGCCGTGGGTAAGATGATGGCGGCTCCTGGGTCTCGCTCTGGGCGGGGGTCGGGACCGGGAGGGATCCCTCCTGGGCTGGGGTTCTGGGGAGCGGCTCTCGACTGTCTGCGGTGAGGGGTCCGGCGGGGGGGGGTCTCGCTCTCTGGGCGGGGGGTTCGGGAGGGGGAGGGGGTCTCGCTCTCTGGGCGGGGGGTTCGGGAGGGGGAGGGGGTCTCGCTCTCTGGGCGGGGGTTCGGGCGGGGAGGGGGTCTCGCTCTCTGGGCGGGGGGTTCGGGCGGGGGAGGGGGTCTCGCTCTCTGGGCGGGGGGTTCGGGCGGGGGAGGGGGTCTCGCTCTCTGGGCGGGGGGTTCGGGCGGGGGAGGGGGTCTCGCTCTCTGGGCGGGGGGTTCGGGCGGGGGAGGGGGTCTCGCTGTCTGGGCGGGGAGGGGGTCTCGCTGTCTGGGCGGGGGTTCGGGAGGGGGAGGGGGTCTCGCTCTCTGGGCGGGGGGTTCGGGAGGGGGGGGGGGTCTCGCTCTCTGGGCGGGGGGTTCGGGAGGGGGAGGGGGTCTCGCTGTCTGGGCGGGGGAGGGGGTCTCGCTGTCTGGGCGGGGGTTCGGGAGGGGGAGGGGGTCTCGCTCTCTGGGCGGGGGTTCGGGCGGGGAGGGGGGTCTCGCTCTCTGGGCGGGGGTTCGGGGGGGGGAGGGGTCTCGCTCTCTGGGCGGGGGTTCGGGAGGGGGAGGGGGTCTCGCTCTCTGGGCGGGGGGTTCGGGCGGGGGAGGGGGTCTCGCTCTCTGGGCGGGGGGTTCGGGCGGGGAGGGGGTCTCGCTCTCTGGGCGGGGGGTTCGGGAGGGGGAGGGGGTCTCGCTCTCTGGGCGGGGGGGGGGGGGTCTCGCTCTCTGGGCGGGGGGTTCGGGAGGGGAGGGGGTCTCGCTCTCTGGGCGGGGGGTTCGGGCGGGGGAGGGGGTCTCGCTCTCTGGGCGGGGGAGGGGGTCTCGCTCTCTGGGCGGGGGGTTCGGGCGGGGAGGGGGTCTCGCTCTCTGGGCGGGGGGGGGGCCTGGCCTGCGTGGGCTGTTATCAGACCCTGAGCTGAGCCCTCTTTCCCTGTCAGGTTTCCCAGCGATGGCTTCCTGCTGCTGGCTCTGCTGCTCTACGCCCCTGTGGGGCTCTGTCTGCTCCTCCTGCGCCTCTTCATCGGCATCCATGTCTTCCTGGTCAGCTGTGCCCTGCCTGACAGCCTGCTCCGGAGGTTAGGGTGGGTGTGGGGCTGCCTGGGGAGAGTTGGGGCCCTTTTCAGCCTCCCACCCCAAAAATCCAGCAAATAGCCATCTCTGACTTGTCTGCAAAGCCATCCTATGGAGCCCCCAGTTCTCCATGGAGTTGGAGCTGCCTCTCTCTGGTCCACTGGGGCTTGCTGTTAGGGGTGTAAGTTGGAATTGTGGCTGCTCTGTCCTGGTGCTTTTTGTGCTTAGCAGACCCTTCATCCCCAGTCCCGAACAAGGAGGCTCCTTTGCTGGTGACTATAGGGCCTGAGCCCCATGACACATGTGGGCTGACAACAGGTTTCTTTTGCCCAAGTGACAGACTGCAGGGGCTGAAAGCAGCCAGCAGCCTGCTCTCCCCACACAGTTCTGCTAGTTGGTGCCCCTGCTATCCCAGCCCTAAGCTTCCTCCCACCCACCCTGTCCTCCCACATGGCACAATTCTGGTGCTCCTCAGTCTTAATCCCAAGGCGCCTGTACAGCCCTTGCTAGTCTCGTCTTTATTCACTGGTCATTTAAACCAGTTCTGGTCACAATAGGTTTGGGTGTTTCTGTTCCTGTTGTTAGGTTTATCGTGCGTGTGATGTGCTCAGTGCTGGGTCTGTTTGTGCGGCAAAGTGACCCCCATCTCCGGGATGCCAATGTCAGGGTTTATATTGCCAACCACGTGACGCACTTCGACCACAGTGTCATCAGCCTACTGACCTCGTGCAATACAGTGAGTCATGTAGGGGTCTGGGGCTGCTCCCTTAAGCGCTTCTCCCTGGAGAAGCACTTAGTGACCTGTTCAGGGATTGGGCACTGGCTCCTGGGTCTGTCTTTATGAATGAATAATTGAATAAGCCTTGAGGTTCTCTTTAGGCTCGTGTGTTATGCTGTTGGGTTCTGATTGGCTCAAATTAAGGAGGGGCAGGGAACCGGGCTGCCCAAGCAAGCATGTAGCCTCTGTCTCCCCTTCCTGGCTCTTTAAATAGACATGAGCGGAAGCACAGTTGGGTTTGGGGCTTTCCCAGGGTGCTGGCTGTTTCCTGTGGTTGCAGAGGGCTGCCTGCATCTGTCCAGGAAGCACTGAGCGATGCTTTGTGATGAGGGTCTAGCCAAATAGCACTGTCAAGCAATTAAAAAAATTAATTACGGATAATAACACTGTTAAACAAGTTTCAGAGTAACAGCTGTGTTAGTCTGTATTCACAAAAAGAAAAGGAGTACTTGTGGCACCTTAGAGACTAACCAATTTATTTGAGCATAAGCTTGCGTGAGCTGAGCTGTAGCTCATGAAAGCTTATGCTCAAATAAATTGGTTAGTCTCTAAGGTGCCGCAAGTACTCCTTTTCTTACTGTTAAACAACAATAGAATACCATTTATTTAAATATTTTTGGATGTTCTCTACGTTTTCAAATACATTGATTTCAATTACAACACAGAATACAAAATGTACACTGCTCACTTTATATTAATTTTTTATTACAATTATTTACACTGTAAAAAACCAAAATAGTATTTTTCTGTTGACCTAATACAAGTAGTGTAGTGCAATCTCTTAATCATGAAAGTTGAATGTACAAATGTAGAATTATATTAAAAAAAAACGAAAAAAAATAACCTGCATTCAGAAATAAAACAATGTAAAATTTTAGAGCCTGCAAGTCCACTCAGTCCTACTTCTTGTTCAGCCAGTTGTTCAGACAAAGAAGTTTGTTTACATTTGCAGGAGAGAATGCTGCCTGCTTCTTGTTTACAATGTCACCTGAAAGAGATGGCACTGTTGTAGCTGGCATTGCAAGATATTTACGTGCCAGATGTGCTAAAGATTCATATGTCCCTTCATGCTTCAGCCACCATTCCAGGGAACATGCATCCATGCTGATGAGTTCTGCTCGATAATAATCCAAAGCAGTGCGCACCGACATGTTCATTTTCATCACCTGAGTCAGATGCCACCAGCAGAAGATTGATTTTCTTTTTTGGTGTTTCGGGGTCTGTAGTTTCCGTATTGGAGTGTTGCTCTTTTAAAACTTCTGAAAGCATGCTCCACGCCTCGTCCCTCTCAGATTTTGGAAGGCACTTCGGATTCTTAAACCTTTGGTCCAGTGCTGTAGCTATCTTTAGATATCTTACATTGGTACCTTCTTTGCGTTTTGTGAAATCTGCAGTGAAGGTGTTCTTAAAACGAACAACATGCTGGGTCATCATCCAAGATTGCTATAACATGAAATATATAGTGGAATGTGGGAACAATACAGAGCAGGGGACATATGATTCTTCCCCAAGGGGTTCAGTCACAAATTTAATTAACACATTTTTTTAACAAGCATCATCATCATGGAAGCATATCCTCTGGAATGGTGGCCGAAGCATGAAGGGGCATACCAATTTTTACATATCTGGCACGTAAATACTTTGCAATACCAGCCACAAAAATGCCATGCAAATGCCTGTTCTCACTTTCTGGTGACACTGTAAATAAGAAGAGGGTAGCATTATCTCCTGTAAATGTGAACAAACTTGTTTGTCTTAGCAGTTGGCTGAACAAGTAGTAGTACTGGGTGGACTTGTAGGCTCTGAAGTTTTACTTTGTTTTGGTTTTAAGTGCAGTTATGTAACAACAAGAAAATCTACATTTGTAAGTTGACAGGTTTCAGAGTAACAGCCGTGTTAGTCTGTATTCGCAAAAAGAAAAGGAGTACTTGTGGCACCTTAGAGACTAACCAATTTATTTGAGCATGAGTTTTCGTGAGCTACAGCTCACTTCATCGGATGCATACCGTGGAAGCTGCAGCAGATATTATATACACACAGAGATCATGAAACAATACCTCCTCCCACCCCACTGTCCTGCTGGTAATAGCTTATCTAAAGTGATAATCAAGTTGGGCCATTTCCAGCACAAATCCAGGTTTTCTCACCCTCCACCCCCCTACACACAAACTCACTCTCCTGCTGGTAATAGCCCATCCAAAGTGACAACTCTCTTCACAATGTGCATGATAATCAAGGTGGACCATTTCCAGCACAAATCCAGGTTTTCTCACCCCCCCACCCCCATACACACACAAACTCACTCTCTTGCTGGTAATAGCTCATCCAAAGTGACCACTCTCCCTACAATGTGCATGGGACAGCCCCGCAACCTGAAGCAAATACTCACCAACAACCACATACCACACAA